TGTAATAGAATTTCCGGTTCAAGGATTGGCCCTTTTAGCCACCTGAGGACCCATAAGTCTCATGGAAAATGATCATGCTCGGTAAAGAGTGATCGCCCATCATCATCATCATTGTTCTAATAAATTAGCTAATGGATTTTCTTTCCATTATTTGCCCGGTTCTGCACTACCAGATGAGAGAACCAACTTGTTAAAACATGGGGGAGAGGAGTTGTCCAGAAGTTCTGTAATAAATAGTTGTAAAATTTCTCCCCCCCCCCCCGCCCCCCCCCCGCCAATTTCCTTGTGCTATTTTCCAAAAGGGAGTTAATCCTCAATTAGCTTATGTACCGTATCATTTTATCTGTTAAGGAGATTCTCTCATTTGTTGAAAGTTCTTGTCTATATGTAAAAATAAAATCTATCTGGGTAGATCCAACCAAGTGGGGTGGACTTACTGCCATTCATTTGAAAATGCTAGATTTTCTGGCCAACTTTAAGGATGCAGGAAGAGCATTAGCTTTGTGTTCTGATGATCTCTGGATTTGTTCAATCTCTCTTTCCTAACAGACATGTGAACTGAGTAGCAGGCAATGGAATTCAGATCTGCAAATACTTTATCCTCAAACTCATGTGTCTCTGGGCATTCCCCCCTAACATGAAAGAAAGTAGGTCTTTTATTCCACCACCCCCCTTCCATAATGTGACAACTGTGGAACAATTTTTACATGTATGTGTAGCAATATATATATATAACCCATACAACCATTTGGAAAGCTCCAAATAGTGTGCCAGAGCTAGCTAGGGTTTAACTATGGTAAGAAATAGAGTCCAAGAGCCAGATTCTGATGTCAATTACACCACAGTAAATCCCAAATCAAGTGGTTTTAACTGAGTTGCTCTGGATTTATACCAGTGTAACTGAAAGCAGAATCTGGTCAAATGTCTCTTTCCAAGATATTTTCATAACCTGGCCAGCTAGCTTGATGCAGTTGACCTTATAGTTGCTCATATGCAAATGATATCAAATGTTTAACAGAGTATGTGGTTTAATATTAAATCTTCTATGATTTAGAACTTTAACCAACCCAATTTAGTGCATTTCTAATTTCAGAAGACTTTAACCTGAAGATATCAGAAGTCCTTATGCAGAATGCACTGCTTAGTTTGCAGAAAGGGCTGTTCAGAGTGTACAGATCAGACAATGACCAAATGTCAACATTCCTCTGGTATCTCATAGGCATGTATGTTGACACAGTTAAAAGAAGAGTTGTCATAAAGAGGCCACGCAAGCAGCAAGACTAAGTCCAACTTATTCATCATTCCAAAATCAGCATATATTATGTTCTGCATTTTGTGACGCATGGTAGTTTCTGGTCAGGAGACACCAACATGAAGCAAAATGGTATCCTTTAGAAATCCTCTACCCTATCCTAGAGAAATTTTTGTTGTGGCTTCCTATATTGTACTGCCCTATGATCGGGGCTGAATGGAAAAGCTAATTTTCAAACATTTACCAATCCTTTAAAGGAAAACAAGTATACTTGTCTATTTTCCAATAACACATAGGACTAGTATAAATGAGAGTTTTTTTAAAAAGAGAAAAATATATATTTTGTAGGTTTTGTGTGTGTGACTGTGCTTTGGCTAAGATGTGTCCCTGAAGTTAGATCCCTGATTCCATATTCAGGCCTCTAGGATGAAATGCTGGCTTCAGTGAAGTCAATGGGAGTTTTGTCATTGATTTCAGTGGGGCTCCAATTTCACCCATGGTGCCTGATTATGACCCCAAATGAGTGACCTGATTTTCAAAAATCCCACACTCCTAGAATCTCCTACTGTCTTAAAGTGGAGATGGTGTTTGCTCAAGTTTTACAAATTTAACTTAGGATTTAGCCTGAGTTTAAGCACCATTTTTATATATCTTGCCTGAGGCTATAGTCACATTCACCATTCCCCTGTATAATCAGTTTTCCCTCTTTGTGTAAATTTCTGACATGAGAACAGGGGAGACCATCTTAAAAAAAAAATAGGAAAATGTGATCGTGCAACCACAAAACTCGGCAAGGAGATTCAGGGACAAGTGTATTATGTCAAAATACTTACCTTTTTTTAAATTGACCGTATTTCAAGAAGTAGATGGTTTTACTTTATCAATTGTTGTATTACAAACATTTGGACTCTGCATATCATGTTGCTGGAGAAAGTAGACGTATTTGTATCTCACAATCACCAAATAACCAAAGCCAAAGGAAGGATTTACTAAGAGATTTTCCGTTCCCTAAATCCCTGCATAACAGTCCAAAGACACGGCAAGTTTGACCAATGTAACATGACAAGTAATTTGTTTCTACATTCAGGGCTACATTTTTCAAACTGTTTTATGGTCTTTTCTACACTAAAAAGTTGTATTGCTTTAACCAGTATAGAAGCAATGCCATTATATCAGTGTAAAGGGGCTTTTTATGGGTATAGCTTCTCCCCACACAGGAAGGTGATAACTTTTTACTAATATAAGTCACCTTTATTGGTATAATGACATCCACACTAGGGCTTGTAGAGATATACCAGAGACATGATCACACTCCTAACAGACACAGCTATACGGTATAATTTTCAAGTTTAGACCAGGCCTAAGCATGCCGTAAGGGAAAGAGTGTGCAATGAAACAGGACCTAATCATTACTTTGGCAAAAGCCCCACTTGTTATCAACAGAAGTTTGACTTTTAAAGACTGAAAATCACCCCAGAATTATTTTCAGAAGGGAAACCAATGAGCCTAGTACAACTGCAAATAATTCTATATGAGGCATTTTGCAGACTTACGTTATTCCTCAAAAAAAAAAAAAAATACTCAGTATATCAGAGTTTCTAAATCTTCAGGGATAGGGCATTGTGTTTACAGATCCACACTGTCCAATGTGGCCTTAGATAGCCCCACATATTTGGATCTCTCTACATACAAAGATTCTAGCAGATCCTACTCTGATCTGGTTCAAACAAACCAGAGCCTTTGAAACCAAGACGTTAGTAACAGATTCAACCTTATTTTTTTACTAATGCTGAGACCACACTGTTATGGAACATAATGTAAACAGTTAGTTTTTCTCCCCACATTGCTTTTAAGTTCTCAAAAGTATTAGCTGCAGTCTGTTACACTGACAGTTAGTCTTATCAACTTCCAGAGGAAGTTCAAAAATTATTTAAGGAAGTGCCAGTTTCCTGAACACCCACATCGTAATTCCCTGACCCACAGAATGAGTCGGTTCAGCTCCTAGCATCTGTGTTCTGCCCACCAATCACTCCTTCAGTTCCAGGCATCATTCCAAATATTTACAGGTGCATTTAGCCCACAGGTAGTGCAGCAGCTCCTGGTTCTCTCAACGCTTCTGCCCTCCCCTTCCCAGGTTTAATCTCCAGTTCTCCGCTCTCCCTCTCCCATTGCAACAGGCTGTTGCCCAGTAGCCACCAGCTATTCTGAAAATGCAAAAGGAGAACTTGTATAGCAGACCACACTCACCAACCCATTTGCTTATTTTGGTGTTATCACTTAGGTATACAGTTGTTTTTATGCTGTCAAATGCCACATTTTGTGCATAAAATTGCCTGCTGTGGACAAAGAGTTGCCTTTTTTTTTTTTAAATACAACTGTTTATTTGTACTTCCAAGGCAAAGTTTTAGTGAGGTTCACAAAGGAATACGGAATTAGACACACAGAATATATCTGAGGTTATACTGTTAATGCATAGAAATAACTGCACAGGATATACATGAAATTATACAGGCTACTAGTACTAACAGGAAGCAACAGCAGGATATTATGAGTACATAAGTACACCAGTTCCTAGAAGTCAAACTGTTATTTGGTGCAAAAATCAGTTTGTAAAGAGACAGTAGGCAGCCAGCCAGCCAGCCACGTGGGCCAGAGCTCACTGTAGCATTAATATATATAAATTGTAATTAAGATATTTGGAACAGCTACAGAGCAGTTCCCTGGAAAGCAGGAATCCTTCCTGTGTTGATATTATAGTTTTAGGCCAAGATTGCATGCCCTTTTGGAAAGTTAGTTTCAACGATCTGAAAAATCTTTCAAGACCTCTCAAAATCTCCATACATTTTAAACGGATGAAACCATTTTAAAAATTTTCTTTAAAATGTACAGAAGTGTTAAGATTTCTTAAAAAAACATTAAGAAATGGCCTGTCCCATTTCCACCACCTCATTCAGAAGCAATATCATACTAGAGTTCTGAAACAGTGATTGTAAGGGTTGTACGTGTTTAAACAGCTTAATGCTTTCTCTAAGAATAGAAAGTCTCTCTAGACAAATGCTAATTGACCTTTTATCCCAAGACATAAGGCCCACTCGGTTGTTCAGTGCCTTCTGGTGCCAAACAGCATTTTGTTCAAAGGCCTCTAAAAGAAGACTCTAAGGCTATGGCTACATTTGCAGATGTAGAGCACTGTGAGTTAAACCAGCCCTCGGAGAGCGCAGTAGGGAAAGCGGTGCAGTGTGTCCACACTGTCAGATTCGAGCGCACTGCCGGGGCCACATTAGCAGCTCTTGCAACGCCAGAGAGAGCAGTGCATTGCGGTAGCTATCCCAGCATGCAGGTGGCTGCAACGTGCTTTTTCAAATGGGGGGGGGGGGGGGGGGGGGGTGTGACAGGCAGTGTGTTGTGTGTATGTGGGGAGAGAGAGAGTGGGTTTTTGGGGGCTGAGAGCATGTCAACATGCTGTCTTGTAAGTTCAGACAGCAGCAGACCCCCCTCCTCCCCACCTCTCTCTCTCACACACACTCACAACAGCAGCATTCCACAGTAATGGTTTGCTTTGTCCCAGAGCAGATAAGCAGCCGGTTGTCAGAAACGGAGCTTTGAAAGGGCATATCCGCATTCCTATAACCGATTCCAAAACAATGACAAGAGTGGCCACTTGACTCAAGGGGATTATGGGACATTTCCGGAGGCCGATCAGAGCACAGTAATGCAACACCATGTTCACACTGACGCTGGGGCGTTTCAGCCAAGGCGGAGCAAGCGTTATGCTTCTCGTGGAGGTGGATTACTCAGGAGCGCTCCAGCTGCAGAGTCCTGGCACTCTAAGTGCCTTGTCAGTGTGGACGGGTTGTGAGTTAGGACACCTAGGGCTGCTTTAATGCGCTCTAACTTGCAAGTGTAGCCAAGTCCTAAGAAAGGAAAAGCCTTGCAAACTTATCATGCTGAGGAAGCACATTGAATTACTGGATCAAAGTCAGCAGAGAGGGGAATTACACCAAAGGGAAGTCACTGCCAGTTCACAGTAATATGGCAAAACCCACACAAGAGGGCATTTATACATTAGGGAATTTTCTGACTCAAGTAACCGTCTCAAAGAATCCCCAAAAGTACTACGTTCAATTCTGGTCCACCTTTATTAAAAGATCAACCGTGTTGAGAAACCAGACTTTGTCAGCCCTGCAAGTCATTGCATAAGGCAGATTTTACTGTACACAAACAGATATCAGTGCTAAGGAATTGGCAAAGAAGCCCACGAAGGATCTTAGGTATCAATTTCTGAGTAGTCATTTTATTGTGAAATGCAGAATTACAAAATTTGTAAGAACTTAATTACAGGTTCCCACTGGTTTAAATGGAAATAGGATCAGGTCCTCAGCTGTAGCTGTCTTCTCTTTTATGGAGAAGCATATCTGCCAAAGAAAAGTATGCTTTGTGTTGGGTTGTGACGGATGAAGAAAAGGAAAGGGTGATCAGCATTGAAATCCTCTTCCATAAGCATACAGAGCATAGCAATGCCAGCAGTGGCCGCTGCAGCTTCTGTGCCTTCTTCATTCACTTCTATGAAAGACTTGTGTACAATTTTAGATAGAAAGAGGTCTCGTGCGCCTGACATTCCAGACAAGTCAGCCTTGCCACTGTCAAATATATCCTGCAGGCCCAGATCTGATAAATCTGATTTAAGGTCATAGCTGTCTTCCAGCTTAAATTTAGGCAGATGCACATGAACATCAATGGGATGCATATTTTGTGGCTGTGTCCATTCCTGGAGTTTTTCTAAGGTGATTTGCTTCTCTAGCTGGAATTATAAGCACAGTGATCATTAAACTGCCTAGAGAGAGTCTGAAATACCACCAGTGTAAAAGTATTTCTCTTCCAAAAACATTTAAAATGCAATATTGAAAACACGGTCTATAATGATACATGTATACAAAGTAAAGTAAATATAGACATAAAAGGCCAGATTCTGATCTTTGCTACCCTTGTATAAACCCACAGTAATTCTATTACATTCAATGGAGTTACTGCAAATTTACACCCCAGTAACCAAGATCAGAATCTGACCCAAAGCATCCAACTTTAAAATCACAGAGTTTTACTTTTTGCTGCTTTGTACAAAGGAGTTAAAGAAATACTGTACTAGTAACTTAAAAAAAAATCCTATCACTTCATCTAGCTACTTGGAAGTGTAAGTCACTAAAACTCATAATGAAAATAATTAACAATCAACAAGGGAGCTGCCTTCTTGACACTTCAGTAAAGATCATCAGCTTCACCGTTTGAAAGCACAGAAAATACGACATCCAACGCAGCTAAAAGATAAACTGCACCATTTAAAGGAAAATACAGGTTAACTATTATCTGTAACCTATTTTTATTTCACTTTGTCAACTACCTCGTGGCTCAGTTCTGAGGATTAATTAATTAGTTAAAGTTTCTGCAGCACTTTGACAAAGTGAAGGCTGCTGTAAGTAACACTGGTGCCAATGGATTTCTAAGGGACTGAACTGACCATCAGCAGAGTGTAAGGAAACTTCTGCCCTACTTCAGGCAACCCTCCTCCCTCCCGCCCCATGCCACCAGCAGGGAGAGGACTAGCATAGCATCCACTACACCCACCCAACTTGAGAAGATCCCCCTACTCAGAACTGACGCTCTTGTGGATAGTTAGACAGGCTCCACGGCCAGATTCCTCCAACAGTGACACACAAAGCAGATGCACCGCACCCTGGAAACTGGCCCAATATAATTTTATTTGATCAGTAAAACTCCTACTACACGCCTAAAATAAATAACAATGAAAGTTCTTAAGGACTATCAGAGGATGGTGATAACTGGAAACAGCAGGATTTTCCCTTTTGTTATTAATTCTTTACTGTTCTATTAGTAGGCTGAACTGGTGAAGGCATAATGTTGAAGGTACAATTTGTGGGCTTTTGAAGGGGTGAGGGGCAGACTGAAAACAAGGTTCTATATTACAGGGAAATTGTGAAATGCCATCCAAGCAGAAACTGAGACTGGTTTGTATAAATCACCTGCTGGAGTCCAGTGGAGTTATCGTCAATGTCATCAGGTAACAGGATGATCATGCTAAGTTCTTTTCCATCATAGGGAAGCTCTAGCACACGACATTTCAGTTCAGAGATGTACCCAAAAGGATAGTTCTCTTTCTGATACATCATTTGCACTGTCTTTTTTTCATTCTGAATGGTTTACAAAAAATAAAGAAAATTTTATAAATTAAAGTTAAAAATCAGATTTCCTTACCTATGTTATTAACAATACCTTAGATTAAAATTGACTTTTAAAATCTAAATTACTTTTCACTGTATGATTTACTCCCTCTGCCCACTTCCGTCATCTTAGGCAATGAAAATACTCACAGGTTAGATTCACTAATGCTTGATTTATTAGCAATTCTTTGAAGACCCGGTGCTATGTAAATGCTAAGAATTATTATGTTCAGTTTTGCTTTTGGTTTCTCTTGCCTAGCATAATGCTTCCTTCTTCCACTGTAGAAACTAGCCCAGATTCTTCATTCAATTGTAGCTCCTCTATGGTCCTCCAATAGCAAGAGGGGCCACAAACTATATCAACGGCCTGTGAGAAATATCCCCAGTGTAAAAGCTATTCCCAGGCACTGTAGAACTAATAGATTTCTCTGCATGGTCTATGGTTGCCAACCCTCCAGGACTGCCTGGAATCTCCAGGAATTCATCTTTAATGAAAGATTATGTCATGTGAGGAAACCTTCAGGAACATGTCCAAGCAAAATTAGCAACCCTAGCATGGTTCCTCCCACAGTCCCTGGCATAAGGGGCATGTATGACAAGGAAAGAAGCCTTGGCCAAAGTACAGGGTGATTCAGTTATGCTCAGCTAGCATAACTGCTTCCAGGGAGGCATTAAAAGCATAATTTAAAGCTACGCTAAATTGTATTTGGGGAAAACAGACAGAGTATTGGAGGGGCCAATGTACCTACATGCCATATTTTCCTCCACTCTTCCATTCCTGCAGAAAATGGACGAGCAGTGAAACACAGAATCTAGCCCACTGACTTCAGGAAAATGTTTATGTCAGTGTTTCTCAAACTTTCATATTGGTGACCCCTTTCACATAGCAAACCTCTGAGTGCAACCCCCCTTATAAATTAAAAACACTTTTTTTATATTTAACACTATTATAAATGCTGGAGGCAAAGCGGGATTTGGGGATACAGGCTGACAGCTCATGATCCCCCATGTAATAACTTTGTGACCCCTTCAGGGGTCACAACCCCCAGTTTGAGACCCCTGGTTTATATCCAAAGAAAAAACAGTCTGAATAAATAAATAAATAAAAAAGAACGTGAAAATGTTTCTATTCATATTTGGGTTGTAATTTTAAAAAAAATTATAAAAACTTTAATTTGGGGCCTAAATTACCTGAGAGCATCCCTTTATAGATATTCTACAAGCAAAAAGATAACAGCATGCATCCATATTACCTTATTTAACCGAAATTGCATTTGTTTCGTATCTGCTTCTTTAAATTTCTCAGCCCAATTTCCTTTGAAATAAATAGCATTCACCAACACTAGTTTGGTCAGATTATTAACTGTGCCCTCAGACAACAGGTTGGGGATTTTACCTTAAAAGATATAAAAAATCATTACAACGTTATTTTACACTATACATATTTACATTTAAAAAAATCCACTGTCTTAATTCAAGAAAAGATTTCTGATTTTCCCCCCGATACAAATATAGTATATTTAAGCACCATTCTCTTGTACTGTACTACATTATGCTGCATATCATAATAATAGTCCATATATAATAACTTCACAAAAGTGTAAACCCTTACAGCCTCAATTTTCAGAAATGCTTCAATTTTTGGGTGCTCAACTCAAGACAACCTAAAGGGGAATGATTTTCAGAAAGTGGTGAGCATATGCTATTAGCAATAGGGCTTCTTTAGGGTACCTGCCACTGGGCACCCAAAATTTAGGACTACATGATTTAGAAATCTATATTAAGACCAAGATTTTCAAAACCAGATGCCTAAACTTAGGCAACTATTTTGGCAATTGTTGGCCTTAATGTATGAAAATGCACATTTCTTTTTAATTATCTAGCTGCCATAAACACTATGCTCATGCATTTTCTGGTTTTACCAGCCATGTGATTGGATATCCCATAACAAGATGGAACAATTCTAATGGCAGCAGAAAATGAGGACATATCCCTATTGAATAGCCACAAAAAGATGCCCTTTATTTAACTAACCAAAATCTCTTACCTTCAGTCTGTTCTGCTACCCACTGGTTAATTTGTTTCCTTGCTTCATCTGGAGCAAGTAGAAAATCAACCGTAGCTAAATCAGCTCCATATAATTTCTGAGTCTTAGTCAAGAAGTCCTAGAATACATAGTCAGAAGGAATAGCTTTCATTGCACATAGATAATATCTTTATAGCTATGTTTGGAAGGATTAGACATTTTTCAGTACACGTTGGTAAACATCTATTTCATCCTACATATACAAACTGATGAAAAGACATTTCCAACAATAATAATTGAAATTTACAGAGAGGCACGGTAAGAAAAATGCTGCTTGCCAGAGTTTGATTTAAGGATCTTTGATTTGTATATTTTGACATATGATGTTGACAATTTGTGTTTTAACTGTTCTATAGCTCAACTTTTTGAATCTCTATTGTCATTAAATCATTACTGTCTGACCTGCCAATTGTTAGAACCCCCCCATAATTTCCCACAACTAGAAATTTAAATAGATAAATATAAAGGATAAAATGCTTAATAATATTATCTGCCAAAATTATAAAATAATAAAAATAAAATTCTGCCAAGCCTATTTAGAGCCTAGTGAAACAACACTAACTTAGGTCAGCTAAAGAATCTGTCTATCTCAAGGGTTGGGGGAACTGATCTTGCATTTTATTATTTTTGTTTCTGACAGATACAGGTGAACAACACGAATATTTCAATGCTCCCATCATGTTTGAATATGAACTGATTGCTTATTACTGATGTTTCAGTGTTAGACTTTTTAAATTGGGTGACGTTCACCCCCGTGCAACAGGCCCATACAAGCCTAAGCACTACTGAACTCCCACTGAGATTCAAAGTGGGACATAAGTGGCCATCAGACCTCATGTAGACTCTCTGCACAGGGGTGAATTTCACCTATGGAAGGTAAGTTGGATTTAAAGTACATCAGGTGGTGTACCACTGATATAACTAGCGGGTGGGATTTTCAAAAATACCTCAGTGACATAGCAGCACAAGCCCCATTGAAAATCAATGGTAGTTAGGCACCTAACTGCCATTTGTGCCCTTAAAAATCTCCCTCTCCTCCCCCCCATATTTACAGATTTATCAGTTTGAGAGCCAAAGGCACAAATGGATATCAGACTGCTACTTCCCAAAACAGGGTGCTAAATTTGTAGCCAAAAATGGTTTGTCTTGTGGGTCCTTCAAACGACCTCACATTTTTTACCTCATAAATATACAAATAAAGTTATTCTGCTTGGAATCAATCAATAATGGCAGTTATGCCATTTACTAAATTAATTCCAAAGTGTATTACGGTTTTATCTAAATCCTGTTCCAGTGGGAGTTTTGCCACTGACTTCAAGAGGGGCAGGACCAGGCCCTAACAGAAATGGGAAGTAACTGATGATTGAGTTTTGAAAAATTCTACAGGAATTCTGTCACATGAGCTTCTGCATGAACTTACTGCTAAAAAATTGTAGGTCTTCTCTCCATAAAGCCGACTGGCAAGCTTCAACAGATAGGAAGCTCCACTTCTGTTTATGTCAGAGGTCAGGGTCTGAAATCTTGAATGAAGTTCTTCAACAACATCAAAATGAAGGGTCTGGATTAAAAGAAATTATCAATTAATACAGAATACTTGGTAGTAAGTGTTTGAACAATCAGGCCCTTGGAGTCAGGAGGAAAACAAACAAACAGTGTTTGCCTTCTGATTGATTGTAAGCTATTTGAAAACTTCAGCTAGTGCAAAATCTAGTGTTGACTTACTGGCAACACAAATGCATCACCTGTGCTCCGTCACTTGCATGGTCTACTAGTTTGGGCACAATTCAAGCTGTTTATTTTAATCTATAATGTTTGGCAGCTCTCCCCCTATGCGCCATCCAGCCATAGAGATCTGTAGGGACACTGATATTAGTCCCCAGATATTAAATCTGTATGCAAGGTGCTACCAATAAAGGGACCTTCAGTTCTCAAATTCACTTCTCCTTTTGGTTTTGCTCCCTCAGAGCATATTGCAAGCCCTATCTATTCTTCCAGACCTTATTTGAACACGTGAGTAAGGTGAGCTTGATCTGATTTAGTGTGATTTTCTTTTATTTTTAATAGATGATAATATAAATGCTGCCACATATTATTGATGGCTGATAATTTAAAAATTAAATATGTTACCGTAGTGTCTCTTTAAAGGCATATTTTCTCTCTGAGTGATTCTCAGAGACAAATTATTCAACAGGATATATGCATTATGGAGAGATCTACCTGAATCTAGATGAGCCGATGAGAGCGTACCAAGGACCTTCAATGCACATAGAACTATTTGGACAAAGCTAAACTAAACCAGAGACCGAGCGTAGGACATGGTCTAGGGACCTGATCCAAAGCCCATTGAACTCTATGGAAAGATTCCTATTGACTTCAATGTGCTTTGCATCAGGCCTAGGTGTCCTGGGAAGTTTCAATCTGCTTTGTATAGGTGAAAAGATGCAGTATTAAGGCACTATGAAATGGGTCCATGACCCACAGAAACAAATATCCACATGCAACTTAAAGTCTTTGGTAGCTATAACCTTTCCCACAAGTTTCTCTGCACCCCCCCCCCCCCCCCGATGATGGTTAATGTATTTTCACAAATATTAGAGAGTACTTTGAATTAGAACATAAGAGTATGGTAGATTAGCATGTTGAAACTTGTCTGAGTGTGGTTTTTTTAGCCCCTTTTCATGCTATTTCTGCTCTGAATAGGTTCAACCTGGGTTGGGCTGTTAGTTTAATTTAGATGATAGAATGGGAGTTAGTTTCTGTACAGAGTTCAGGTCTGACAGGTGGTGATGAAATAGTTTTATTGTTCTAATGGATAACTCAGTGCTGCCTAACATAACATAACATAAAAGAGCCCCTCCTAAAGCCAACAATACAAAGGAGACAATATTCTTAAACAAATATATTGTTACTCCCAGCAGAGTAAATTCAAACATACTCTTTTACAACTGCATGTGCCATTCCAAGAAAACCATGAATAACTGAATCCCTCTTAAGCAATAAATCCCACATGAAATTAGTACCAATGCTGCCATCCAGAATTGTTTTTTGTATTTTAAAATGAATAAATACTAATTTTGAAATCTCCCATCTCTAAAACCAGAATTTAACCTACAGGAAATCTTCACAGCACTAGTTAATGCAGTTTGCAGCTTGTTTACTGGCTGAATTTGATAAAGGCTGAACACAAAGAGCTCAGTTCTTCAACCCTTGCTTATATTCAGTAGTGTTAATCCCTGCTGAGTACTCCCATTGATTTCACTAGAATTGGGGCCAGCCACAGTAATAAAACAAAATTGAACACCAAAGCTTTTTTTTTATTAAAAAATGTGGCTAATGTAAAGTTATGTGGAAGTGCCTGATTAAAGCCCATTGAACTCAAAGGGAGTCTTTCCATTGACTTCTGTGGGCTCTGGATCAGGGCCATCAGGCGCAAAATATAGCAAATACAGTGAAAACACAAAATACAGTAAGTGTTTAAAGTTAAGCATGTCCTTAAAGCCTTCAAAACTTAAGCACTTAAATGGTGTGCTGAAAAGGAAATAATTTCCAATTGGGGCCTTATTTAGAACATTAGGCACCTATTTTTGAAAATATTAGTCTGCAGATGTGCTGAATCTTACTATTGTGGCTGATCTCATTCAGATCATCTTTGATATGAGACTGATAATGACTTGACTCTGAATGAGAAGGTGGGTGAGAATATCTTTTATTGGACCAACTTCTGTTGGTGAAAGAGAGAAGCTTTCGAGATACCTTTCCCAGACCTGAAGAGCTCTGTGTATTCAGTAAAAAGAACAGGAGTACTTGTGGCACCTTAGAGACTAACAAATTTATTAGAGCATAAGCTTTCGTGGGCTACAACCCACTTCTTCGGATGCATCCCAAAAGTGGGTTGTAGCCCACGAAAGCTTATGCTCTAATAAATTTGTTAGTCTCTAAGGTGCCACAAGTACTCCTGTTCTTTTTGCGGATACAGACTAACACGGCTGCTACTCTGAAACCTGTGTATTCAGTGTCACAGCCAAATACAAGATTAAACAGGTAGTTTACCATCCTAGCCACTATGGATGTAGAAGCCCTCTACACCAACATTCCACACAAAGATGGACTACAAGCCATCAGGAATAGGATCCCTGATACCATCACGGCAAACCTGGTGGCTGAACTTTGTGACTTTGTCCTCACCCACAACTATTTCAGATTTGGGGACAATTTATACCTTAAGTCAGCGGGACTGCTATGGATACCCGCATGGCCCCTCAGTACGCCAACATTTTTATGGCTGACTTAGAATAGCACTTCCTCAGCTCTCGTCCCCTTACACCACATTGATGACATCTTCATCATCTGGACCCATAGGAAGGAGGCCCTTGAGGAATTCCACCAAGATTTCAACGATTTCCACCCTACCATCAACCTCAGCCTGGACCAGCCCACACAAGAGATCCACTTCCTAGATACTACAGTGCTAATAAGTGATGGTCACATAAACACCACCCTATACCAGAAACCTACTGACCGCTATACTTACCAACATGCCTCCAGCTTTCATCCAGACCACATCACACGATCCACTGTCTACAGCCAAGCTCTAAGATACAACCGCATTTGCTCCGATCCCTCAGACAGAGACAAACACCTACAGAATTTCTATCAAGTGTTCTTAAAACTGCAATACCCACCTGGTGAAATGAAGAAACAGATTGACAGAGCCAGAAGGGTACCGAGAAGTCACCTACTACAAGACAGACCCAACAAAGAAAGTAACAGAACGCCACTAGCCGTCACCTACAGCCCCCAACTAAAACCTCTCCACCGCATCATCAAGGATCTACCACCTGATCCTGAAGGACGATCCCTCACTCTCACAGACCTTGGGAAACAAGCCAGTCCTCGCTTACAGACAGACCCCCAACCTGAAGCAAATACTCACCAGCAACTACACACCACACAACAAAAACCCAGGAACCAAACCCTGCTACAAACCCCGGTGCCAACTCTGTCCACATATCTATTCAAGGGACACCATCATAGGACCTAACCACGTCAGCCACACCATCCGGGGCTCCTTCACCTGCACATCTACCAATGTGATATATGCCATCATGTGCCAGCAATGCCCCTTTGCCATGTACATTGGCCAAACTGGACAGTCTCTTCGCAAAAGAATAAATGGACACAAAACTGACATCGGGAATCATAACATTCAAAAACCAGTAGAACACTTAAATCTCTGTGATCACTCAATAACAGACCTAAATGTGGCAATTCTTCAACAAAAAAACTTCAAAAACAGACTCCAAGGTGAAGCTGCAGAACTGGAGTTAATTTGAAAACTGGATACTATCCGATTAGGCCTGAATAAAGACTGGGAGAGTTTGGATCATTACAAAACCTAAACTTAATTTCCGCAATACTAATTTCTCCTGACTGTTACTCACACTTTCTTGTCACCTGTCTGTAACGGGCCACTCTCTTACCACTTCAAAAGTTATTTTTCCTCCCTTGGTATCCTGCTGTTAATTGATTTATCTTGTTAGACTGACCTTACACTTGGTAAAGCAACCCCCATCCTTTCATGTATTTATACCTGCTCCTGTATTTTTCACTTCATGCATCTGATGAAGTGGGTTCTAGCCCACGAAAGCTTATGCCAAAATAAATTTGTTAGTCTCTAAAGTGCCACAAGGACTCCTCGTTTTCCCCCCACATATTCTAAGGGGCCTTTCAAGGTGAAGCGTTCCGTTAATACCCCTGTAGTCATAGAATAAAAAGGGGGGCTAGTGGGTTGCAGATTGTTGTAATAAACCATAAATCCAGTGTCTTTATTAAGATCATGATTTTTGGTGTCTGGCAAAGTTATGAATTTAAGCTCCCAGGCTTGTCTTTGGAAGGTGTTGTGCAGGTTTCGTTTGAAGATGGGGACTGAGAGGTCAGGATTTATGGTTTATTACAACAATATGCCACTAACTCCCCCCCCCCCTTTTTTTGTCCTATGACTCCAGGGGTATTAACGAGCCACTTTACCTTGAATGGTCCCTTGAAAGATGTGTTAACTACTTATGCTAAACAATCTGTTCCAGCTTGTATTTAACTGTCACATGCTGAGTACCTTTCGGAGAGCTCTGTATAGCTCGAAAGCTTGTCTCTTTTGTCAATACAAGTTGGTCCAATAAAAGATATTATCTCACCTACCTTGTCTTTCTAATATCTTGGGACCAACATGGCTACAACAACACTGCAAACAACATTAACTGTGACTGGATTGAAATAAGATTCACATCTGTTTTGTGTGTCTTGTGGGAGATAACAATCCCGTCATTTTACAAAATTCATGATCTCATGCAAAGACGACGTCATCATGCATTATCATAGTTATGACACTTTATATTTAAGGAGGGGGAGGTGGGTTGAGTTTTTGTTTTTTAACATGGCAGCAGTATGCGTAACATTATGTATTACAAAAATCACAGATCTCTTTGCCAGAGTCGCACAGGGGCTTTGGGCAAAAACTGAAACAGAGTCTCTTCTCCCTTCCAAAAAAAAATTATCAGGGGCTGGGGGGAGTGGAGAGTGTGCCCACCCTGCACTCACCCCACAGCGATGACTCCTGTCCTGTGGGACTGGGCCTTGCTCCCCTCTCCAGGCATTGTGACCTGGCATACTCGGTTGCAACACCACTCAGTTTGTGGGCCCTTTCAAACTGGGGGCCTGGGGCAGCCCTGCTCTTAGCATCCAAAGGCATGAAAACAAATTAAAAAATAATTTGGTTCCAGAGGTTTTGATCAAATTAATTAGTGACTAAATTAAGTGGGAAACAATAGGAAGGGTCATTGAATTCTTATATTTTTTCTCTTAAAACTTATTTTCTATAACATTAAAAATCTAAACAAGAAAGAAATGTTCACTGACCTTCAACAGCTGTGTCTCTGTGTTACCTTTAGCCCCTAAAAGGACCATGGCCAGTGCAGCAGAAATACTGACTGGCGAGAAGAAGATATTTCCTGTTGGGTTGGTTTCATTCAACTTTCTAAACAGATCGAGAGCAAAATGGGTGTTTGCATTACTCAGTTTCTCCATGGTTACAAGCTGAAAAATAAAATAAGTGCAATCAAGGCTCCAGGTAGTGATTTTTCAAAAACGAAATGCCCTGTGTTACGCAAAGCAAAGGTGAAACTAATAAAAGAGCATTTGTACCATATGGAACTCAGGAATATTAACTTCAATTTACCTTCCTCACACATTAACAAATTCACATAACTAGATATAACAGCTAGTAGATTGCTTACCCCAAACATTCTGGTTACACCAACCTTACAGATGTTATATAATAACCTTCAGTAGCCTCTTATTTCTAAATTTGGAACAAACAAAGGTTAAGGAGCGTGCAAGAATGGACACTATAGTCCTCTTACTCCAAATTCACAAACCAGACAGTCAAGACAACTGGTGGGCGACCTCCTCCTTGTTTTCCCACCAGCGGATTTATTAATTGTAATACACTATTACCAGTGGCTGGTGAAAGGTACTTAAATCTCCATCTCATCTGAGACCTGTTTCTGTTGAGCAGACCACACCAAATTAAGGTCCCAGTCCTCCAAAGACTTACACATCTGCTTAACTTCATGCACTGTGAGAACTCATCGAATTTACTGGGACTACTCAGTGTGTATCATGTTTAGCATGTGCCTAAATCTTTGCAGGATCAGAGCCCAAGAATGGAACCAAATGTGTACATGAGAGCTGGAGTTTTGAAATCAAAAGTGAAACGCAGAATCATGCCACTGCCCCCGCCATTAGGTATTTGCGACAGCACAGACAGTCTCTCTGGCCTTAGGGGGTTTGTCCACACACTGAAGTTGTGATGTTTAACTGGTGCCGCTTTAAGTGTTGACACTCTTACGTCATTTAAACCGGACTTGCACCGGTTTTGCTTCTGCCCGCAAGTGAAAATCGAGGAGGCAAATCATAACTAAGGAAGGAGGAACAGCTGCATCCAGGGCTTTCCCTGGAAGGCTGCTGAGAACTTGTCATGGGCGGGCTATTGCGAAGCAGCTTCTTCTCCCTGGGGGCGGGTGGGAGAGGCTCAGCTGGTACTGTGGGCTTTTCTCTCCTGCAGGGCTGTCTCCGTGTCCCCTCTGGGCATGCAGTGAGGGGGGGAAGGAAGAACAGACCGAGGCGCTCGGGACCAGCCCAAGCTGCACATTTCTAATACGCTGGAGGGGGGCAGATTGCAGGCTTCTGCTCTGGCCCCAGCACATGACGCAGGGTCCTCCCCTTAGCCCCATTTCTTGGAGCCAATGAGCGTCCCCCGGCCCCGGCCCCGACCCCCTCCCCTGCTCTCGGACTGGGACATATTCACCGCTGCTGTTTCTTACCCTGCAGCCGGCTGGGGATTCACTGGTTCCAGGCAGTAGGAGAGACACCTGAACTAGTGACTCAGCCCTGCGAGCTTACCCAGGCCAGGGGTGGGGAGCGTGTGCGTGGGCTGGGCTAGGCCGGGGACGAGCCTTAGGGGAGGGAAACGTACAGACGCTGCTCGGGGGAGGACCGGGGCCGCCAGCCCCACACCAGCTGGGTGCGCTGTGACTGCAGGGGGAGGGGCCACCTCTGCAGGGGTGGGGAGAATGGATCGGGAGGGGAGGATGAAGGAAAGGTGGGGAATAGAGGAGAGGATGAACTAGCTACGGCTGGTCAGAAATACTGACTGGCGAGAAGAAGATATTTCCTGTTGGGTTGGTTTCATTCAACTTTCTAAACAGATCGAGAGCAAAATGGGTGTTTGCATCACTCAGTTTCTCCATGGTTACAAGCTGAAAAATAAAATAAGTGCAATCAAGGCTCCAGGTAAAAACTGCGATTTTCTCTGTAGTATGAAGTGGGCTGTAGCCCATGAAAGCTCATGCTCTAATAAATTTGTTAGTCTCTAAGGTGCCACAAGTACTCCTGTTCTTTTTGCGGATACAGACTAACATGGCTGCTACTCTGATAACTGCAGTGTGTGTCTTGAATTTTGTTCTCAGCCTTGCACTGTAAATACAGAGCTACTCCACTAGTTTGTATTTACACTGTGTAACTAAGCAAAATTTGGCTCAATGTCTTTATTGAAGACTGAACAGTTTCCAAACCAAAAAATTGCTGTACTGTGACCACAGTTTCCTCTCTCTCCAGTTGGGTTTAGAAAAGGCTGAAATTGGTTGTTACAGTACTATTTTGTGTTGTTATAGCTCCTTCCAAGGATTTCAAAATGCTTTACAAATAAGTAAACTAACTTTGTAACACAGAGATTATTTACAAATAGGTGAATGGGGTCGGAAACCGGTTAAGTAATTTTCCCAAGGTCTGTATGTCTCAGATCTGACTTCTAGCCCCATATATTTACTACAGTAGCTTTAAATAATTCCCCCACAAGGGGTTTGGCAACACCTTTAGATGTGAAACAATGATAATA